GTGAAGATTCCGGCCATCTTGCCCCTCACTGGCTCACATCTGGTTCTCCACTCTGCGGGTAAAATGGACAAAGGGTGACGTTTAATGCTTCTCGCAGACTTCCGGTGAGTCACCCGTGGAATGAACTCGGTCCTGAGCGCAGTGCAGATGTTCCACTCCACAGCGTGAGACGGCATGATGTGTGTGTGCCGTGATGATGATGATGATGATGACTGCAAGGCAAAAGTTTCACTTTCAGTTGAGTAGTATGTAGAAATATGTAGTATGAGGTGTAGTGTAATCATAAACATAGTGAGGAATTATGGGAAATTAAAACAATGAATCTCTTGCTTAGTATTGCTTGGACCATTGTACAATTTTAGTAGGTGCTGGTAATCAATTGTAGTTTGATTATTTGGTAGTAAATCAGAGTAAATGACTGGCAGGAACGTCTTGCAAATTCAAACAAAACAGGAACCACATTACCAGTATGTGGAATAAGACACTTCTTATTCAATTTTATTAACCTTAATACATGTCTCATTTGGAAGGTCTTGAAATCGCAAGTAAGTGCCATCTGAAAATGTCAAAATCAAGTTCTTATTCTGTTACAAGAATCCCTTGCTGGATGTTAATAAAGAAAAGTTTTGTCCCGGAGGATTTTCTCACTGGGGTGATCAATGTGATGGGGGAGTGAGAACTGAAGTCTCCTAGTGCTTTGATTTATGTCAAAAAAAAAAAAAAAAAACCTCGAAAGAGGAAGGAGGGGCTCATCCCTGACAACCGAGATGCTTGGACAACGAAACGGGCCTGGTGGGAGGAGCCAAACTGCTTTGGTGGCGGGGCAGGGAAAGCAAGTTGGACAGGGAGTGTGCGAGACGCGTGAAACAACTTCTTGCTGCCTCCGAGGAACATTTTGGGCAGACTGTACCACGCATGTTTCTCATTGTTTTGGATACTAAACAAGCAAACTGAAACATATACATAGCTAATGCTAATGCTAATGCTAATGCTGTGTATGTGTCCTGTAGCTCAACAAGTAGAGTGTTGTCCAAATAATACAAAGGTTGTGGGTTCAATTCCCAGTAAATACACATAAATTGTAACCATTCTCTCTGATGCAGGGCTCTTTGAATCTGGACCTTGGTTCCAGGTTGTGTTTTCAGTTCTCCCAGGTAGTTAGTTTATTTCTGATTGGGCACAGTGACTTTACACCTAGTTCACAAGTAAAGGAAGGCTGGAAAATGAGCTGTGTTTGGAGCTCAAGGACCATGATTTGAATAGACCTGATCTATTGTAAGATGCTTTGGAAAAATGTGTGTACAGATCCACACTGTCAGAAATGGCACACAAAGGTGTGCTTCTAAAACTATTGATGCAGGTAAAGAGAATCTCCTGCATAGAGTCTGAGATCTGACTGAAATGAAGGAACTAAAAATATCCATTAGTATGGCTGCTTTTTCTGTCATTGTCACTGTGTGCCATTGTTTCACTATCGCGCCTTCAACAAACAATGGCATTGTGAGGTAAAAAATGTTTAAGGGGCTTTCCTGGCTCCCCCAAATCACCCAGCTGTCCGAGGTATCCCAGCATTCCCGGGTCTCTGTTTATACTGAACGGATCCTCGGATTTCCAGTTAAGATTTCCATTGAGAGGAACAACAGTGACATCATAATTCTGTCGGTGGTTCTGTGAAGTTAGCACTGGGCTGCGGAGGGGAAAAGGCCTAAACAGAGTCACACACACATACACACACACAGCAGATAACTAGCTAGCCGGGGCACAGTATTGAGACCACCGAAAGGTTTCCAGACCATCGTCCTGGTCCTGCAAGGGCATTATAAGTTTGTCACATGGCATTTGTCTCGCCTAAATGCCTTTAAATCACAGGACATTCTTTTGTTTAACAGATATTTCATGCGTTACGTTTACAGTATGTTGAATGATGATAGTCTGGGAAAATGTCTGGCTTGGTACCCGGGACTGACGGAGAGTAATCACAGTGACAGATGAGAACCTGGAAAGGCCAAAGCAAACACTTGGCCTTGATTGTTGAAGCCTGAACTCATAAACTACAAACCCATGAATCGGGTTTCCCATCCAGGATAAATCCAGCAGCTCTATTCCATGCGGCTTATTTTAAACGGATGCGTAACTGCGCTAAATTAGCTCTTTATACGTCATCTGCCGCCCGATTATGACGTAATCCAGCGTCACTGACCTGGGTCCAGAGGACGGGATGTAAATTAAATGTAACTACTGTTGACTAAGCGCATCTACTGTAAGGTACCAACAGGGGTCGCTAAGGCAAATTTACCGACCCCCCACCGCAATTTTCTTAATTGTCTTTCATCTCTCTATTTGAGTTGCCATTTGGGAGTTGATCGACCTTCTTTTCTCGACTCGCCGTCCGATTCTAGCGGTTGCGTCGGCGCCACTGATGACTCGGAATCCCCGAGCCCTCAAACCAACATATCAGGATAAATTAAAGAAGAAAAGCTTTGCAATAAAGTGCTTCTGTTTGCGCATTTCTGCTTTAAGAATCCCCCTTGTACAGTAAGTTTGGCAGTCGATGGCCACATTCACGTGTGAGGAACTGTCAGGGGTCCCTCTAAAATTCTCGCAGGTGCCGGGTGCATGCGCAGTGCGTCGTTGCGGATTGGCATTTCATCGCAAAAATATTACCTCCTTTGCTTTCTCGCGTCAATGAGTCTGGTTTAAAAAAAAAAAAAAGTTTCTGAAAATTGGAAAAACTGACTCTGGCGCAGCCGATCGACGCAAGTGCCACTTTCCATGAAGGTCTCCCGGTCTCGGCCAGTGTGACCAGTTGCAGCTCTCACTTAACCGGCGTGACCGCCCCTCTCAGCTCGGGAAGCCTGGGGGGGAGATGTCTGGAAAAACAGCAGACCGCAGCCCCCCCATTCCAAAAAGCCTTGGCCGATCGCAACTTTATTGTTGCCGGTAGTAAGAATATAAGTGGGGGCTACGTCCCTTTTTTCATATTTGCCTTCATGCGTGGACTTGGTTTGAGTTCTGTTTTTTCGCGATCTGTTTAGAAATCCCATCATTACAGGGCTGCCCGGGCGGCTCAGCAGACGCTCGTTCCTCCCCTAATTGCTTCAATGTGTCCGCGCTGCATTAGCGCCGCCTGGGCTGGGCGCCCTGGGTGGATCCCTGAGTAATCTTTCCCGTGTCGCTGGGTTTCAGCGAGGCTCTGGCTTTTTGTGGGTGATGGATGTAGACCTGCCCTTTTTCCTCCTGCAGGTTTTTTTTTTTGTTTCCCCCAAGTTCTTTTTTTTCATATCATATCGATTATCACGTACTCATTACTAGACGCCGACATTAAAGTTTTGAAGAATGAAAATATGAAAAGGGGGGGATATAAAAACAACACCAAAACATTCTGATTTTTTAAGTTCTCATCATGTTTCATGCTTTGTTTAAGTAAAGCCGTGTAGTGATCGGGACGGTGGACGTGAGTCAGAAGCGAGTGGTTTTCGGGTTGATTGCATTAACATGAGCAAAACATCTCGGAAAAACCAGCGCTTTCGAAGGGGATCGTTGTGATGCACAGGACAAAACTTTGGCTCGCCGATAAATAGTTTTGAGCTCCAACCGACAATCACGCCGAAGGCTCGGACGGGAAATGGTAAATCGGCCGGCCGATGAGGAGGGGGACCAAACCCCAGACCAGAGGGAACGAAATAACATCGGCTCCCTTGCTTTCGAAATGGTCCACGAAAGTTTCAAGCTGGTCTGATCTCATTTACCTACCGAGTCACAGAGCCTCCAATTTTCTCCAATCTTTTCTTGTAAATGTTTTTTCGGTCCCAAAACTCCCCCATCAAACCCCTGTTCCTTACTAATTTTCAGTCTACTCTTTTTTTAAAAGTAATATTTTAGAAGTAGAACGGCTTATTACGCAAATAGAAGACCCATGGTTATATAAGTATACTCACATCTAGTTGTGGGTACGTGAATATTAATTATTCAGTTTGTTTTCAGTGCAGTGTATAATTACAGAATAATCGAGTCTTTTGTTTTCCAAAATAACTGGGCCTTAAACAGAGTTAGTGACTAGTGTGTCTCTGTTCACAAGTGTGTGAGAGGAAAAAGGTTTTCAACTGCAAAGATGGGCTTCAGTGCGGCTAAAGCTGATTTAGGTGCCATGCAGTGTTAATGTCTTAGTATGAGAGAGCTGAGGGTCAGGCATCTAGCTGAGCGCTGATGTAATTTGTTGGCACGGTAACCGAAATCCAGAACAGTCCTGACCCAGACATCCCATAACACTGGGGACACAGGCCTGGACTAAAATATAGCCACACTGAACATAAGATGACTGATACTCTTTCCAGCTGTAAGGGTCAAAACCTCGAGGCAACTGGATTATGCAATGTATAGACAGCTGTGTGAGATGTGTGAGTCTGCAGATCGCCATGACGACATGATGGTCTGCACCATGCATCCAGGTATAACGACATCGGGACCGGTGCTTGTGATTGTCCATGGATCCCGTGTAATTTTTCTCTTTTCTGGGTTGCCGTTTTCAGCTTTGCATCTCAATATGTGTCCAGTATCGGGCTTCATCCCAAACACACTTAAACACGCCAGATGGTTTTAGGCTGACGTATCCCATCACTCACTTTTGCGATTTAATCATTAAACTAAATTGTCTTTATTTTCTTGTATCACTGCTTTCTCCCAGCGACTTGGTATAGATTTAGACTTGGCCGCCCGACTCGGCATGAGAAAATCCGTCTCCTGTTGCGAACGTGTCAGTTAGAGGTAACGATTGTGTTTTCGGTGCTGAACTTTTCCGGTTGAAATGAACTGTTTCAAATTAAACTTTGGTGGGATATGCCTGATGGACCTGAAAAGAATTTTTGGGTAATAAAGGGATGAAAGAGACAATAAGGGAAGAAATTGGACATGGGTGGAGTTTATGGACTTGTGGGTGTGAGACACACACACACACACACACACACAAACCTAACGCTTGTGCCTCTCTCTCTGTCCTGCAGTGGTGTGTCGTCACACATGCATGAACGGCGGGGTATGCAGCTCGCACAGTCACTGCCTGTGCCCCCCTGGATTCACTGGCCGTCTGTGCCAGTTCTCCATCCGCAAGACCCAGGAAGCCCAGGCAGCTGTAGGCAACAAGCAGCCAGCCTACAGTCTGCAGCTGGTTCCGGAAGTTTCTGGCCCAGGGGAGCAGGGGCGGGGGCACATGGCACAGACCCACTCCGTGTTCAGCCTCCCGCTGGCACCCGGTGTTGGGCATCACTCGCAAGAAGGTACCCCCGCACCACCACCCTTTCACATGATTGGTTAAACTCGAAGCCCCGCCCCCTTCACATCTCCCCGCCCCCCTGGATTCGAATCTGATCCGGTTTCCCCGTTCGTGCTTCCAGTGCAGTTCAACGTGCGCGTCCACCACACGTCCGACACCGCCGTCGTCATCCATCCCGTGGACCATTCGGATGGCAAGCCCCCCCACAAGACCACGGTCCGCCTTATGCCGCAAACGCACAAGCCTCGGGGGCGGTGCTTCCAGGAGACCACGCCCAAACAAGCCGTGAGTGTCCAATCAGCATCTACGGATGAGTTTGCAGAATCGTTTTGGCTGCTCGGTAATTTCAGCCACCGCACATTGAGTTTGATAAAATAATATTTACCATTTGCTCTGCGTCTGAGGTATTTTGACGCCTTTGTTGTTGTTGTCCCTCTGGCTGCTGTCACTCGCTGTTATTTATTACGTCGTAATAAGGATCGCTTGTCCGCCTTCGACAAACAGAGCATCAAGGCCACATTCAGTCTGGCCTTGATCCGTGCCCTCGATCTCCACTTCAAAAGCAAATATTGTGGATGCATGGAGGGCGGGGTCAAAGGGGGGGGGGGGGGGGGCGCCGGGGTAACGGCTTTTGAGGCTGCCGTTAATGTGTTTTGGAAGCCGGACTGTGGGCGTTTATATCACAGTTAAACTAACGATTCACAGAAGGGGGGAAAACAGATTCTGATAAACTCGCTGAACTGCGGCCGCTTCGTGAGCCGGGGTGGCTGTGACTTCTGCATCTTTGGATTTGTGGATATTTTTATGGTCCATGCATTCAAAATCTCAAGTAATTTAATTGTCATATGTGCAGGCCACGATGAGATTCTAAGTTTTGTTCACTCCAGATGCTGCAAAATAGGGGGGAAATGAAACAAGAAAGCAACAGCACAGTCGAGTGCTTATAAAACATGCTGGGCTCACAGAATTATTGTTTAATTCTGTAAAAAGTTGTGAATTTATCTGCTTCATTACATAAACAGTGTTTAATATACCTGCACATATCATCCTCATAGACATTTTCTTTTTATGAAGTGAATTTTTTTGACGGAAGTCCTGTTCTCGCCATTTTGCTATTAATTGCATTTGTGGTCATTGGCTCCCAATGGATACTGTGCACAAACGTTTGGTGTTTTATATTATCGCAAAGGTGTCGCTAATTGAAAAACACTTGCCTGACGATGAAGCTTTTAACAGCTCTTTCAGAACTAATGTGGTATACATTTTGTAAACGGGTGAATAATGTCACGATTTTTGTTATAAGACCGATAAATTAGCAATATTTTTACCGAATGAAGCAAGTATCCCAAGACGTTCTGTGAGCACTGTTCAGATCTATCATATATTAAAAAAATTAAAATGGAGAAAAGTAAATAAAAGTGGTTGCTAATGTAAAATATACACACACACATACATAAAATATACATAAAAATATCAAATACACATACAGGAATTAGAATGGAATGTATAATGTAAAGTGGTTGGTCCAGTGAACCTAAATTATACATGAAAATATACGTACATATGAACATATGAATAGTAATTAAGTGAATATTTAAATTGCTTTTCGGCCCTGTGGACCCAGGGACGTTTCCGTATTAATGGGATGTTTCCGTATTAATGGGATGTTTCCGTATTAAAGGGATGTTTCTGTATTAAAGGCACCGTTGACTTTGGCCTTTCTTCCCTCTTGCAGTGCAGCAGTAACCCTTTGCCGGGACTGACCAATCAGGAGGACTGCTGTGGCAGCGTGGGAAATTCTTGGGGGCAGAACAAGTGCTACAAGTGTCCCAAACTGTTGTGTGAGTAGCGGACCTGCTGCGTACTGAGCCCTCCGTCTGCGACTCCCCTAGTCGCACAAACTGCCTAATCTGTCTGAGCCCAGCACTGCAATATACTGCTGAATGTATGGAAACTATTGTAAACAGACACGCGTCTAATTAGAACTATAGATAAATAACTTTAGGCTGCGGGGTGTTCCACAAAATGGGACTTCAAGATTGTCCAATAGGAATGCTCCTTACCTAAACTCTAATTGGACGATCATGATTGTCTAAAAGGAGCGCTCTTTACCTGAACTCTTATTGGCTGAGGAGTCTTGCTTTGTGGAACACCGCCGATCTACATTTACATTAGTAGTCTGCATGTAGATGAGGTTAAAAGCAACTAATAAAGTAAAATATTTAACTGCAGTTAGAAGATCAGAATCAAAATCCTACAAATAATATAAGCAATTTGTTGGTGGAGGCACAAATATACATTTTAATCTGTCAAGACAAAATACACAAAACGATAAACAGCGTAGGGATAAATGGAGAGATAGCGAAAAGGTTCTTAATGGTACCATTTAATATTTTCGCATAGAATTTCGAGTAGAAAGGTTGTTTTCAAACCCCTCTACCTAACCATATAAACTGGGCATTGGATCAGGGGTGTGTACAAGGGCGGGGCCATAGAGGAAGCAGCTAAAATCTGATTGGCTCTCAGAGTGCTGCCCCAGCTGTCATTCACTGATTCAAAACATATCATTGGCTAATAGTATGGTTAGCCCCTCTGTATGAATCATGCGCCCCCCCCACCCCCCCCACTTTAAAAAGTCCTAGAGTCACCTTCTGTCGAGGAGCTTGTACCCCAGGCTGCTCCTAACAGACTCCAGGTCTCCAGATGCCCCTCATCCGTCTCTGGCAGCCGGCGGTAGGAAAGTGTTGCGCTTGTTCTGACGTGTCCTTGTTGAAGTCGGGGTCAGGCTACTTGGACGTCGCCGCCCTACTGGCTAATGGAGGCGCGCCGCCTGGGGCTCTCGGATATGCGTGACGTTTTTGGGTCCGCCGGAGAGAGCTGGTTGCCTCCACCGCCCCCCCCCACTTAGCTTCAAAGCAGAAGCCTGGGAGATCAGCTCAAATGTGAGGGGAAAAAATGTTCCTTGCTTCCCTGCCAGAGGCTAGAGCCGTATTTCTTCTTCCAAATAGCTGCACTCGCAGACTATAAACTTTTCCCGTTCTCGTGTTTTTTTTTCAATCTCCACTTCCCAGACAAGGTGGAATCTGGCTGAGGACGTCCTGCTTGTTATTTTTCTGCCTTGCGGGTCTCTTCATGCCTCGTCGTCTGTCTGTTCTAACTAGTTAAATCCAGTAGTTCTAAGCCCGCGGCGATGCAGAGCCCGGGGGCTGTGTGACAGGGTCACATCGCTCCACCGCGAATCACTTACGCACACGCGGTCGCTCAGTAAAGGCCGATCCGTCACCGCCGGTTCAATCCGCGCGTCTTTGGATCGCGGGGGGAAACCAGCGTACCACAGGGAACTCACACAGAGTGGCTGGACCCAAACCGAGCCGCGGAGCTGCGTGGCATTAAAGCACCAAATCTAGAAATCGGTTTGTTTTCCATAAACCAGAAGTGCAGAACTCTTTGGACCCCCCCCCCCCTCCATTTCTTATTTCCATTTGATTTATTTCGCAGACGCTTTTATCCAAAGCCACGCACATTTGAGAGAGCATGGTCAACTGGTCCCTGGAGCAGTTGGGAGTTAAGGGCGTTGCTCAGTGGCCCGATGGCGAAATCGCTCTGGTGACCCTGGGATTTGAACCGATAACCTTTCCGATTACAGGCACAGTGACCTAACTTGTTAAAAAAAAAACACTGCAACACACCACCATTACTCTGTAAGAGTTTCCGTCCATTCAGCAGCATACATGGTCAGAAAGCTTATCATCTATCAATCCAGTCGTCCACCGTCTGATCGCTTGCCTTGACCAGGTTTGCAGGTTGAATCCCCCAGGGGCTGAGTCTTCACAAATGGTGCAGATGTGTCAGGCTGTCAGTGTGGAATGAGGCGCCGCAGACCTAAGCTGCCTCTGCGGTGGATAAGCCAGAAAATAACTTTAAAGATGTGAAGCAATAATCCCTCGACGCTGCTTAAACATACGCAGCAGCACAGTCCGGCTCTGTCACTGTTCCAATGGCTTATACTCCTTAACACCCCCCCCCACCTTCTATTCCAAGACCCAGGAGTCCACAAACCACATACCATCATAGAGGAATATGGTCCCACCTGCCCACACGGGTACAAGAGGCTGAACAGCACTCACTGCCAAGGTAACGTGAGGAACGTCGTCACTGGGAATCTACCTCCTCCCAGTTTCCCCTTCTTTTCCATTTCCAGTCGATGTTATGGCCACAGTCTTATAAGATGTTCAGCAGACGCTTCTGCCATAAAGGACGACATCCTAATGATTATTATATTAACTCACACACTCTCAATTAGGGGTTCAGGACCTTGCTCTAGGGCTCAGTGAACCCTGGGGTTCAAACCAGTGACCATCTGATTACGGGTACAGAGTCCTAACCTGCGGTGCCACACATCCCCCCCCCCAATTAGGTTATTTGTTCATTGCAGGCAGCACAGCAATGAAGGAGCTGTATTTGCTGTCGAATTTCAGCCAGTAAAAATCCCTGCGAGCTGATATCTCTCCCCAGGGGAAGGAGTTTCAGCGTTCAGCAGTTAAAAAAGAAACGTTTCTGCAGTAAACTTTGCTAATTATGTATGGGACTTAAAAGCTCGGCCTGCCGGGTTCCTTTCCAGCTCGATTCCCCGGAATCCCGCGAGCGGCCTGCCTGGTAATTATCGGCATTACCAGCGGAGTGATTTCAGAGAGAGAAGCTGGGAGTTTTACTGGGTGGCATTTAAAGACCCACAGAGCTGCTCGCTCACTCCGCCCCGCCGACCGTGGCGACGGCTAGGTGTGTTTTGGCGCCCAGCCAAAGGCACGTGTTCACAAATCATCGCCTTGACAACCGTCCGCCGCACGCTCCAAACACCCCTGAAACAAACTCTGTAACACTTCTGAACTTTTTAAAACCGCGTTTACTCCTGATTGATGTATCAGTACTTGAGTACTCGGTCGGTTGATTACTCATTAAGTAATGAATCCTGTTAAGGTCTGTGTACTGGTTACTGAGTTCATAAATGACTTGTGGTTTTTAAATAAGGAATATATTGCAGAGTAAGAGCCAGTTCGAGGTTAAATAAACAGGCTCCTGGGTGAAGTAACAGTCATGGTTTGCTGGAGATCTGCTTTCGTTTTGGTTAATTTGTGTTGTGCTTCCTCAGTGACGTGCCGGACCAGGACGACCGTAGCGTCAGGATTAGCCCGCCTGCCGCTGTGATGTTTCTTGTGATTCACTCCCCCCTCTCTGCTTCCCCCCCCCCCCAAAAGACATCAACGAGTGTACCATGCCGGGGGTGTGCCAGGACGGAGAGTGCCTCAACACGCAGGGCAGCTTCCTCTGCGCCTGCAAGCCGGGCTACATCCTCGACAGGACCAGATGCGTGGGTGAGGGCCTGCCACCCGCGCCCACCTTCCGGAAGCTTCCACGGGCCCCGTGCCGCGTTTTAGTCAAATCTGACACGAGCGGACAGCGTGGATCTGTGAAATGGGCCGTTATTAGTTATGATAAAAGGCACTTTTTGAATTCTTAAGTACGGCGATTGTGTCAGATGCAGATATAACGATGCGGGCGAATGGCCATCGTGTCAATCCGTGTCCTTTCACGCGCAAACGGAAAATCTTATTCTGGAAGGTGACCAAATAACACAAAACCTGGGTGGAGTCCGTCCGTCTCGAAAAGCAGCCGCAGTCATTTTATGCCTGATTTCTTTGGAATGATTCTACCTGTTTTTTTCTCATGTCTTCTTCTCCTTTACCTCCTTCCCCCTCTCCCACCCTCGACTAACCTCACCCGTCCCCCCTGCCTCCACGTCGTCCCCCTACCTGCAGAGCCGCCGGTGGAACAGGGTCAGTGCTTCCTGATGGTGACGGAGGCGGGACAATGCAAGCATGCCCTGCCCACACCCCTCTCCCAGGAAATGTGCTGCTGCACCGTGGGCAAAGCCTGGGGCAGCAAGTGCGAGAGGTGCCCTCAGGATGGCACGGGTGAGAATAGTGGCCTCCCATAACCAGGGACGGGGACGATAGGCCTCAGACAGTGAACAGTCACAAGCAGGCTCACTTCTAGACGTTAGCGAGGCTCCAATATTCTGATATTTACGGTATTGAAATGCATCATGCTGCTCGGTACAGTTGGCTCATTTCCCACGGTTGTCTCTCTTTCAGATGAACTTTCTATCTATTCACACATTCCTGATTTATATCCTTCTGCATGCAATGCTGTCACATTTATGGAAATGTGTAACGAAAAAATTATTAGGCTGAGTTAATAATAGAGATTAAAGATTAAATGAGATTAAAATAAGATTAATAATGCAATGTTTGAAGCAGTATCTGGGGTTATAGGTGTGTCTGTTTAATTAATATCAATAACAAGCTCATCTCTTTGAATGATGATTTTCCATTTTATGCCGTAACCCCCCCCTCCTCTCTGTACCCCCGGACTCCCAGCCTCCTTCAGTAAAATCTGTCCCGCCGGGAAGGGCTACTCCTACCAGACGTACTCGGGGAGCTTGATCATCTCCCCCCAGATGCTGCAGCTCTACCCGAACCTGGAGCAGCTTCTCCACCTGTCCCAGACCGACGGCAAACATCAGGGTGGGTGGCTGGGGGGGTGGGCGTGGCACATTACACGATTCTCATTGGCCGAAAGCTATCCGTCTGGGTTCTCTTTCGAGGAAAGGCGCGGCCGCTGCACTTTCACGGATCACGGGACGCACTCCCCATCCGTGCACCTCCCCAGCCTGGTGGTCTGCCAGACGGTAGTCTGCGACCTTCTGCGCCGCGCTAAAAAATTCGAATCATTTTATGGGTTTTGGATTTGACACAAAGGCGCGAGCCTGCTGAAGCTGTGAAGTTCACAAGTTCGAGGTTCAAACTGTCGCCATAAATCAGGGCCTGATTCCTTACATAGGCATCTGCGCGTCCCACAATTCTAAGAAGTTTCTAATCTTTTTTGACTGGAGGCACACACTGTGCTGACTGACAAAGAACTGGGTCGTCTTTATTTGGGTTTGTACGTGACATATGGAATAAAATGTACATTTTTTTATCTTGTACACATACAGTAAAAGACAGATTCCCTGCAGGAATGGCGACCATAGATCTGGATCAGTTTAATCCAAGGTTCCAGACTGCGGCCGTTCATTGAGTGTGCGAGTTAATATGATAATCATTAGGATGTCGTCCGGCACGGGAATTTCGGTAACAAATTGTGATTGAAAATTTTTTTTTCTCTTCTTTACTGGCTTAGTATTTATAATTGTATGTTTTTTGTTTTTTTTTTGCTGAGTTGGTTGGTCTCTCCCTACCTACATATGGGAGTACGTACATAAACGCGCACTGATGATAGAATGTGCTAAACAACCTTTAGCTGTCGTGTTAACGTGTTCCAAAAATGAAGCAGTCTGTAGCCAATTCATTTAAAAAAACAAAAGGAGGAGACAGAGGAGGAGGCTGGTAGAGAAGGAGAGCCGAAGACAGGCACAGGTGCAGACAGGGAGAGACCGACTGAGCCAGCAAAAAAGAAAATAAGCTTTTTTTTCCAGCCACAATGACTAGCACAGTCCCTGTGGTTGCGGTACGAAGGGAATGCTTACCTGGTGTCGAATTTCAAGGGCTGAATGAATGCAGTTGTCTTGAGTCAAAGTCAGTCCTTCTTCAGTGTATTCATCGGCATGCACGGCCATTAATTAATACCATGCTGTTCCAAAAAAAAGGGTGTGAGCACATCATGTTCTGGTGCGACCAACTGGAAAAGTTAGTCTGGATCCCTGCATTAACCTGCACTGTCCACATGCGCGAATTTCCCTCCAGAGATTAATAAAGGATCTATATATCTATCCATATATCTCTCTATCCATCCATCCGTCCATACACCCACACAGAAATAATAATAATAATAATTCTCACGATGAAACTTCATTTGCCATTTGTACAAGTGCATTGGAATGTGTTAGCTGTCAAATATCCCATCATGCTCTCCTACACACACAGAGGCGAGAGTATCGCTTGAGGTCAGAGCGCAGGACCTGCCATGCCTCCAGCTCCACTGGAGCGTTTTTCTGGGGGTTAAGGGCCCTGCTCTCCAGCCCGGAGGAGGTGCGGCTGTTCTGCTGAGAGCGGGATGTGCACCAGCGACCTTCCGGTCTCGGCCACAGTCCACTAATCAGCCAAGCAACATTCCAGCCAGTATGCTTGCAGTTCTGGTGGCTCTAAGGGACCTGGGAGTACAGTTAACGGTTAAGAGAAGCTTGGCGTGATTCCTATCGGGACAGACCACTGGCATGCGACATGTGAAGTAAAGACCTGTTTGGTCACCACAAGACAGCTGGGAAACATCATCTGTAAAGAATGATCCGATTGTCAGAGGAATCAGGCTGCTCTTAGGTGGTGTATGATTTTCATGCTTTTTTTGGTTCAGTGTTTAATTTCACAACTTGCGGTACTTAGAGGGGAGTTAGAGCATCCCAACAAAACAGCCATTTTACCCATTTTACCGTAAGTCTTCATGAAAAGCGTCACACTTTTTTTTACTGTGTGATCCTCCAGTAATCATATTAAAGTGCAGCACTTCATCACTGACATTAGCCTTATATGAATTAATGACGTTTTTTTTTCTGTTTTTCTTTCAGAGATCAAGCCGCAAGTAAGTTGTTTTCTTTCGTCAACCTGTCCATTAACACCGACCCAACTGCGGAAACGTGTCAGAACAGTTAATATATAAAGGAACAACACAAACCCTTCAAGAACGGGATCAATTCTGGGGGGCTGTGTAGATACCAGCTGCATCGAACCGCCAGTGACTCGCTGTCGTTCCATGAGGAGTTCCAGTAAATGGTGGTAAAGGAGGTGCAGGAGACACGTGCCCAAGGTGATCCTCCGTGTGGTGCTGTGTGTGAAGACAGGAGCACAAAGATGAAATTAAGATGGCCGACTTTGACCTTTGACCTGGCAGCCAAACCTCCAATGGCAGCGCAGGCCTCGTGGATCGAAGCTCCGCCTCTTACGAAAATGGGGATAAAACACAGCATCATGGGATATAGATGAATGTTCAAACCTGAGAGCAGCCAAGCGAAGCGGCACGCTGCCTGTGTTGGTCGGTGAGGTCCAGAATGGCTTTTTGTTAGACCAACTGGACCATCATCTCGCATCTTCTCACCAGCATGGCCCCAGATGGACATCGCCAGTCGTTGGCTTTGCAGTGACAGACCCTCCTCATTTTTGAATTCTACAGCCACTGCTCTTGCCCTTCATCTCTCTTTTGGCTAAACCTTCTCGTATATGTGTGACATCCGTATTCCCTGCTGTGTCCATGGAAGGATCCTCGTGTCAGTGTTTTCCTGTATTTTAGCAGTGTTGTCTTGAGCGTAGGCCTCGGTCTAACTGCAATGTCGTATGAATTTGTTGGCTTTCTTTTGGTGCCTCTCAGCCGCCCCAAAAGGAGGTGCCTCAGGTGGTGACCACGCCCACGCAGACCTCCACCGTCAGCACGCACAGACCCCAGATGCCTGGTAGGCCTTCGGCCAACCGCTTCCACTCTTCCTCAGCCCTGTGCCGTTCTCCTTTGAGGACTGCATCATTTTGCCAAGCCTTTACCTTTGCATGCTGTATGCGTTCTCACATCCCTGCGTTAAAAATGGATGTGTGCAGCTAATACGAACATTACAGTAACGCTCATTGTGGTCTGCATTTTAAAATATTTTTGGCATCTTTCAGTTTTGTTTTTGGCATCTTTCAGTGCCTGATTATGCTCTGATAGTTCTGGTCCATTGGAGATGCTGAATGAACTATTCTGTGACTTCTACGGCTGCTGTTTTCTTATAAATTATCGTAACATGAGAATTTTATCTGGGCTGAAGATCTGCTCCGTGCTGATTTTTTTTCTCCTTGCCTAAGTGGGTGAATACCACATTTTAGATTCAGCTGATGGCGGCGTGTGGAAATGTTCAGCGCACTGATGTTCGCTGGACGTCTCTGGTTTCAGCGCCCAGATTTGCCCCTGATTACATCATGCGGGTCGTGCGTCCATCCCGCGCTGGGAGGGGCTGGGGGTGGATATGGGAGAGGCTCCTGAATGCTTCCTTTCTTTCTCTGCCCCCTAGTGATTGTGGCCAAACCCACCCCGCATCCCATAATAAAAGTGGCTCCAGAGAGGGACTCCTTAGAGGTCGCCCAGACGCAGGTCACACGTGAGTCTCTCCGCTGGCACACCCCTGGTGTCGTAGTGGCTTTTGCTGGGGGGTCGGGACACATCCCAGCACAGTACCATAGCACAGAGCCAATAAGAGTGCAGCGTCTCCACATCCCAGCACAGTACCATAGCACAGAGCCAATAAGAGTGCAGCGTCTCCACATCCCAGCACAGTATCATAGCACAGAGCCAATAAGAGTGCAGCGTCTCCACATCCCAGCATTGTAGGTGACAACTTTGTGCCATCCATCCATCATTCATGCATCCATCCATCTGCCCATCCACCCTTCCGTCTGTCTGTTGGTCAATCATCCGTCCGTCTGTCCGTCCATCAATACATCCCTCCATCCCTCCATCCCTCTGTCTGTTCATCCATACATATATCCATCCATCTCCCAACCTATTATCCCGATTAGTGTTGTAGGGACATGTTTATGCCTGTTTTTAGGGCTTGCAGCAGACTTTCCACACAAAAAAAGTTGTTCCTTTGTTAGCAGGCATTCCGCGCCACATAATAAATCATTCTCGGAGGGCATGCACCTTACTCTCCCATAAAAGTACAATAAAACTCTCTGGGATGTAGGAGCACGATGGCTAGCAGTCTGTTCCTGCCTCCGGCCTTAAAAGCCCATGATGTTTCTGTTTAGCTTGAATCCCAGCGGAGTTACGTTGGAGTACATTCTCCATCCCCAAAAATACATACTCTCATTTAAACTAGAATCCTCTTGAGTGTTTGCATTATTAACCGTGTTCTTAAGAGCTTATATTGCTGTGTAAAGAGCACGTTGATCATGAAAGAATGGAACTGCAGACAATACAAAAGAATTACTCGTGAGTAATAGATTTTGAGTAGACAGGGCTGCTTCTGAAGATATAAGACTAGATAGGTGGCTGTATTTGCCATTTGCACAGGGATGCATTACATATAGGACACATGACGCAGGCATGGGCAGGCACAGGACAGTACATGTATGTGAGACCAGTCTCACACGTAAGATCCACATACGGTAACAGGTAATGGCCACAGTGTTGCCCATATGTGGCCGCCATATTGATTGTGTTTATTCTGGCGAAACAATAACAATGATTTCCACTTTGTGTCCTGTGTCATGCCCCGCCCATTGCCCTACCCTTGCCCCGCCCACTGCCCCACCCTAATCTCACTCACCTGTTGTCCCGCCCATTGTCCCGTCCATTGCCCCACCCCTTGCCCGGCCTTTATCATGCTGCAGAAACGGACGAGTGCCGGCTGAACAGGAACATCTGTGGCCACGGGGACTGCATTAACGGACAGAATGGCTTCACATGCCAGTGCCACGCCGGCTACCGGCCGCACCCACAGAGGAAGAGCTGCGTGGGTGAGAGGGGGCGGGACCTTTCTGACCGCCACACGCGATTGGCTAACGCTAACGCTGCCGGCTTCGGCCGTGGTGGTCACTTCCCCGTGACTCACAGGGGAGTCCAAAATCACACGTGGAGCTCAAAAAAAAATCACCAAAGCCACATTCTGGTTGCCATGACAGCAAGATTGCGGGTGGCTTAATTGATCCCTGCTCTCCTAGGCGACGTTGATGGCAGGTCTGCAGGCAGGAAGCGACGCTCTGTCCGATTTCGGGGACGAGCGGAGCGCCGTGGAATGTGACCCTTCAGTGCCAAGAGCAGTAAACCTCTTGAAAGCCACAGATCTGGAACGGAAACGATGGTTTTCATGCAGTATTGTTCCAGATGATAAGAATTACAGGGAAGCTCACCAGGCGAACGCAACAGTGAGACCTTTAGGTCATAATATCTGAGAGTGAAGCTTTCGTTTTCCCCTGATTTCCATTCCTGTCGGTGGTCATGACTTTCAGTTTCCGGGTTTTAGGCTTTTTACTTAAAAATCAGAGCACGTAGCACAATCAGCCATCTCAACAAGCATAAACCACAATCAGTAATCCTCATTTCAACCAAATGAATGGCATAAATGAACAAAAATATTCATATTTCTTTTTAGAACCAAACAACGCCTTTTCTGAGTCGTTCATTAATAATTAGATCCCTTGTCTTTGAGAAGCCAAGCCTGGTTATTTAAATGTCATTTATGCGTTTTAATGTTTGTGTTCTTGGTAGATGACAATGAGTGTGAGTCGGACCCCTGTGGATCCGGACGAGGCTCATGCGTCAACACCATGGGCTCCTACAGGTGTCGGTGTCTCCATGGTTACAAGCTCCTTGTCCACCAAGGGAAGCTCAAATGTGTAGGTGAGCAACGGTCCAGGACAGAAGGTTCTGGGAACTGAGGCAAACGGCGCCCCCGTCAGGTGGCTCTTATGTCATCATCGTCATCATCGTCGCCATCGTCAGACGTCACGGGCACCTGCTGTTAATTCTAGCACAGTACAGCTTGCTCAGCCAATGACCTTTGACCATCAGGATAGTTTGAATAAATGTGCTGAGCCGCGCCATAGCATTCCCGACGACTTTTCTCAAGCCCCCCCATTGGTCGTTCCTCCCGCCCAATCAGACGAGTCAGACCCAGAAGAGACGTGGTCAGTCCGGAATCTTTGCACATGTGCTTGTGTGTGTGTGTGTGTGTGTGTGTTTCCCAGATGTCAACGAGTGCTACAAGCCGCACACCTGCGGCGAGGGAGGCAAGTGCATCAACCTGCCGGGAAGCTACAAGTGCGAGTGCTTTGAGGGCTTCAAGAGCAGGTCCCACCGGCAGCCTGTGTGTGAAGGTCAGTGTGGTCTCTCTGCTGCCCCCTTCTGTCTGTCTGCGCAGGCAGCAGAAAGTGCTGTATCGTCCAAAGAATGTCCCCCGAATATTCCTCAGACACTTTTAGAAATGAAAATCCCTCTGAAAGTCCCTCTTATAGCTTGTTCCTGCACGTGGACACTCTTCCAGATAGACGTTTGTATACTTACCAGGAAGTAACCTGTGGCGTGTACTACGAAGCGGGGTTACTGGCTTATTGGGGTAACTTGTCGGATTTAAGGTACCACAGTTTAAATTGACTTCATATTCGTTCACTTACATTTTGCCCAGACTACCTTAAATCCGACAAGTTACCCCGATAAGCCGGTAACCCCGCTTCGTAGTACACGCCACTGAACTAGTGCCTCAAAAAGTATATTAGGTGCATTCTGTTGGCATTTATGCAAAAATACTCTACACCAGATTACCCCCCACTGAATACCTGCTTCAGGTTTGCAGGGAGCTGGGTGGGAGCACAAATGTAGACTGGCCGGAGGTCCCAGAGGACCGGGTTGGGAAACACTGCTCTGCATCGACCATAGCTTTATGTAAGAAGTGGTCTGTTTGTGGTCTGCTCTCCCAATGCAGACATCAACGAGTGCCGGGACCCGCGGACGTGCCCCAACGGTCAATGTGAAAACAGGCCTGGTTCTTACGAATGCGTGCCCTGCCTACCTGGGCACCAGGCCCAGGGGGGAGTCTGCTACGGTGAGTCACGCATTCCTGCCTGACGACCTGCATGGCTAGCATGAATTAAACACCATGCACACCCCCTCCCACACACGCACACAGACCTCTACTCATATTTTCATTGGGGCCATTCATTTATATGGGCATAGCCCTAATGCCAACGATGACGACCTTAACCCCTACCCAGCCCTAACCTTAACCATAAGTAACCAAACAAAACACAAGATTTTTGGCACTTTTAGTTTTTTGATTGCAGTCAGATTTTTTATAAAATTGAATTTCCCTTTGAGGGGACCAAAGAAATGGTCCCCACAATGTCAAAATAACAGGTTTTTATCACATTGCGGGGATGTTTGGTCCCCACAATGTAATACATACATAACATACACACACACACACACTTTTTGTGGGGACTTCCTGCTGCGGTTTATCATGCTAATGATCCTTTCTGTCCCCCAGAAACAAAAATCAATTTTCTTGTTTCCTAATAAAATACCTTATTCTCTGTAATTGTGTGTTAATGGGGTCATTACATTTTATTTCCTCTGGTGCTTAAATATAGTATTACTCAAGCTGGGCTTATTGGGGTGAGGATAGTACGAGGACACAGCAGATCATATAACAAATGTACTTCATGGATAACATCTTTAAAAGTAATACAGGCAGCCAGAGATTTGTTAAAATGAAATTATTTTTATATAACGCATGCAGCTGGCTAACCAATGTCACTAAATTGTTTGTATAGTATGAGTGTGCGTATATTTATGTGTGTAAAAGGTGGTAAAGTGGATGGGTCTTGTAAGATTTAAAATATGGCTATATAAATCATTCTTTTGACTAACTGACGAATTATGATTATGGAAAAAGAGAAAGCAGACTGTGCAATTCTCAGTATCAGCGCAAGTGTGAAAGTCAGTCTGCGTCAACGTGGGCCAATGAGAAGATTAATGAGGATCTACTGCCATCTGGTGGCTACTGCATGAACTGCGCTAACCGATATTAAATAGAGGTCATGTGTTCCTCGTGCTTTGGTGGTGAAGCGCACTGCTGTGTACACAGTGTGGGCAGCGCGCTGGCCCTGGGGGAGGGATGTGGGTTCACACAGGCTGAGCGTGTGAGTTTCTGTGTGTTTGTTTATATCCCCCCCTGTGTTTGCTTGGTTTTTTCTCTCTGCATCACCATCAAACCCCCCACCACACACAAACGTTTGTATTCATACCTTCGTGGGCATCGTCCATTCATTTCTAAGGGAAAACTCTAATCCTACCCATGAAAACCTTAACCGCCCCCAGCCAGCCCTAACCTTAACCATTTTGATTGCAAATTTTGATTGCAGTCGCAGGTTTTTATAACACTGAGTTTTCCCTCAATAAAATTTAGTTTTTACTGGAACAGAAAAATCTGTCCCCCCCCCACAGTGAGACATACAGCTTGTTACTTTTATTACATTGTAAGGACATTTGTTCCCCACCTTGTAATACAAGGCACTGTGCAGAAGTCTTAGGCAGCCAAAGACAATGACGCTTAAATAATCTTTATGTTAGTGTCAAACTACGATGTTACGCCTTTCAAAGTGTGTCAGCTTGGCCACTTCAAAACCTCTGCCAAAGTCACAGTGTTTGCAGCGACCATCCAATACACCCATTTCTGACTGGACCACTAATGCACCTTTTTTAAATTAATTAAATTAAAGTTAGTGAAAAGGCTGAGGTGCCCCTGAGGAGAGGTTTGGGAAATTAAGCGATGTTCTAGCGATGTTCTAGCCATCCTGCCAGATACTTTCAGGAGAACAGAAGAAATTCTGACTAGTATGTCTTGTGTTGCTTGTAATTGCTAAATTGTGTTTTTTGTTCTGATCAGAAATGCACTTATTACTCAGCTAAATAACTTTAAACATTACTTTTGACTGACCAAGACTTTTGCACAGTACTGTATACAAACCCCCCTCCGCACACACACACACAAACACACACACACACGTAGGGTATACATATCCTTATGGGGACCGCTCATTCATTTCAATGGGAAAAATGCTAACGCTAACTACAGTATGACAACCTTAACCCCTACCCTGCCCTAACCATAACCATAAGTAACCTAACAAAATACAAAAGTTTTTGCATTTTTAGTTTTTTCATAGCAGTCACCGATTTTTATAAAATAGAGTTTTCCCTTATGGGGACCAGGAAACCGGTCCACATAAGGGAAAAAAAACGGATATTTATCACATTATGGGGACATTATGTACCCATAAGGATAGGTAAACCCGCTCACACACACACACACACACACACACACACACACAGACACACTTCTGCAATGACACTGGCCTTTGATTACTGATGGTACAGCCTGACATTTGCACAAGATCTTACCAAAACCCATTTGATACAGTGTCTTTCTCTTAAATCCACTGAGCAGGTTTGTCATTGCCCCTCCCATCCTCTCCTCTCTCCCCCCTCCCCACCCCTCCATCCCCTCAGACATTAACGAGTGCCAGAAGAGGGGGGTGTGCCCACACGGACGCTGCGAGAACCTTCCGGGAACGTACCGCTGTCTGTGCAAGGACGGCTTTCTGCCAGGGTCAGACGGCAGGAGCTGCCGAGGTCAGCTGGGCTGCCGATGACATCACCGCCCTAGAGTTCCTCGCGTTATTACAGACCTGCGCCCTCTCTGAGCCGCATGCCGCAAACATCCAGAGGGTGCCGGCAAGGCGGCGGCGGTCTGTGTGACGCATTCCGACTGATCTAAGTGATAGACAGGAAATCTCACGTAGTTGGTGGTCAAGTGTTTGGTTTAGTCTGACCAAACCAGGGTTAGTCATTTACACAAAACACGAATAATAAGGCTGAAGAAGCTGGTGTCATGCGGTTCAGGAACAACCCGCAGTGATGCGAATAAAGACACGTAATCGCGTTCATATAGTCGCACCCTACTTGTGTGTCAGTCGGTGTGCCCTGCCATCTGATTGGTCAGCCTGTACTTTTGTCCCGCCCCCTTAGACATTGACGAATGCGAGGACAGCCGGCTGTGTTCCAACGGACGCTGTCTCAACACCGAGGGCTCCTTTGTATGCCAGTGCTACTCGGGGTACCAGCGGACCAAGGAGGGGAGCCACTGCGAAGGTCAGGAGTCGCAGTAACTGCGCATGTGCAGTGCCGCATGTGCAGTGCCGCATGCGATAGGACAGGGCCGCAAGGATCTGGTCCTCAAGGCTTTTGAAGTGGTTTAATTTACAGTACCAGTCAAAAGTCTTGACACACCTATTGAAAATTAGGGATGGACTTCCGCCAGATGTTTCGACAGATCGCTTGTGTTTCCGCCCTGCAGAAAGACCTGTTACTTGGCATCGACTGTAATTGCACTTTTGAACGTTCAGTGGTGCCCGCCACCATCACTAAAAGCAGTGTCCGTGTACTGCCCACCCCCCCACGCAGGCTGCGAGAGAGATCTCTCGCTTCTGGATTAAGAATAGCAAAAACGCAAGCAGACACATACACTCCCCCCCCCCATAATGACTGAAGCGCTGTTTACTTTGCATTCCTTGGCAGCGAGGTAAGCGGTCGTCCTTATAACCTGCCTTTCACGGCTGCCCTCTGTGTTTCCGTTAGACATTAACGAATGCGAGCGGTCCTCCAAGTGCCTGTTTGGTCGCTGCGTCAACACCATGGGCTCGTACCGCTGCGAGTGCCAGAATGGCTTCATGCTGGTCAACGGGAGGCGCTGTCAAGGTACCGTGAGCCCTGCTCTGTAAGAGCTCGCTGCTTCATGACCGTGAAAAGACCCAATGGACACGGGTGCAGGCTTGTGACCCAAAGTAAGGTTTGAAATGACCACCTTGCTCTCTAACATTAATACGATGGGTTACAGGTGTGCACAATGACTCATACCTCAACTTCGCTACTCCCCAGGGCCAATCCATTCAAATTTCGGGGCCCCTAAGCGAAATTTGAAATGGGACCCCATGCCCTAACAGACACCACACTCTGCACAATCCTGACCTCAGAATTCAAGGTGGCGTCAACAGAAATTTAAGCTGGCTCATTAAATCGGTCGTACACACAGTACTCTCCACTCAGTGTCCGTGGACGTGTCGCTATGGTGTTTTTATGTGCAAAATACCATGCAATGTATTGTTATCAACTGATATTGCTAACGGTGACTAGCAATTAATCTGGCTAGAACTGGGGCCCATTTCAGAAAGCAGGATTTCTTGCTTAGCCGGATAACTTCTAGGATTTATGGTAGTCTGGGCTAAATGTAAGTGATGAAGATGAAAGCCATTTACACCGGGGTAACATAGCCAGCTAAGCCAGCAGTCCTGCTGTTTGACACAGGCCCCTGGTATTGCTAAATGGCTTTTCCGACTTTTTGTACGGGAACACGGCTTCCAGCTCCAACTTCTGACCTCTGAGGTAAATGTAATGCAGTATTAATGCCGTTTAATGACCCTCTATGACTCTTCATCACCCTTCAAGACTCATAATGACCCTTCATGACTCTTTATGGTCCTTAATAACTCTTCAGGTCCCTAAATGACCCCCGTAAGGATCCTAGTTAGCATCCCTTTCTGGCTCCCTTTGCAAGTACCTGCATGATTTTCACGCCTATTGGAGTCTAGTGCAGCGGCTCCTATAGACGTCTCTGATTTAGCATCCATGTTTACCCACTTGGCTATTAGCTATATAGCTGTTTGTATTACATATCCCCCTGAAGCCCCAGCTAAATTAGAAAAGGTAAATACGGCGGAGAGGGTGAGGAATCATTAGGGTTCCCGGTGAGATTGCCTCCCTGAGCCGTAACTCGATGCCGCTGACTCCTCCTTGCTCGGGTTCTCCTCGGGAACAGACATCGACGAGTGCGCCATGGACAGGAGCCTGTGTCAGCCCCACGGCGTGTGCGAGAACCGGCAGGGGGCCTACATATGCGTCTGCAACGAGGGCTACGTCAGCTCCGAGGACAAGCGTGGCTGCGAAGGTACGGAGAGGCCCTGGTTGCCGGTGACCATGTGACTGACCATAAATGACACGTAAATGATAGTGATGAACCATTTGCTATATTTTTTTACCACACTAGATGGCGCTCTCTGTTCAAAAAAGGGTGCAAAGCATGTCCCAAAATAAACCAAGAGCACCATCTAGTGGGGTAAAAAAATACAGCAAATGGTTCATGAACTGTCATTTTGTCCATAACTAGTAAATAGCTTCACATCCAAAGAGCCATAACTTCTCCATTCTGCCCCTCCCCCCCTGTAGCGATAGAGGTGGACATAGACAACAAGAAGGAATGCTACCTGAACCTAGACGACACTGTGTTCTGCGACAGCGTGCTGGCCACCAACGTCACCAAGCAGGAGTGCTGTTGCTCCATCGGCGTTGGCTGGGGGGACCACTGTGAGATCTACCCCTGCCCCGTCTACCACTCCGGTACTGGACACTAGGGGATTCTGGGTACTGGGTGGGGTTTGTGCTCAGTTTCTTCATATCCAGGATGCAGTTCTATTGGCTGAAAGTTTCTCTGGCTGAAAGTATCTGTTCAGCAGATAAATAAGAAGACGCTCTTCCTGCCTCAGTTAAGTACGGCACAGCACGCTCTGTTCCTTAGATCCCACCTCAGTGTACCCCCGCGAGGACAGTTCAGCATCATTTCTGGTTTGTTAAATAGCCTGAAGATGTAATCCAATCCTGCGAATGACTGTTTCTTAGCCTCCACCCACGAGAGCCGTGGGCTGCTGTTACTGAGCCAAGAACAGGAACTGTGATCGGGTCGTGTCCCGGTTCTGATTCTAATTAGATCCATTAGTGCCTAAAGGAAGAAACTTAACAAGGAATTAAAGGACGTTATAATAAGCCAGATCGATTTCCTTTTACGTGGTTGGATTAGGAGTGCAGTTGTAATTATGAGCATAAATCTTTTCTTATTTTTTAATGTCATGTGATCAGGCTGTTAATAAATACAAAATGGGGTGCTGGGAAGGGCGCTATTCTCGTTAGGCCGGCGTGGGCCGGAATGTGACTCATCACCGCTGACGGATGGTGTCGGTCTGTCCCCGCAGCGGAGTTCCACTCTCTGTGCCCCATCGGGAGGGGATTCTACCATGAGGAACGCATGACGGAGTACGGCCTGGCTATGCGAGGTAAGTCCGGCCGAATCGGCGGGGGATGTGAGGGGGTCTGGCCGGGCGTGTAGTCAGCGGCCTTAGATTGTAACCTGCAACTGTGAGTTCAAAAATGGTGTGATGTCATAGGGACTGTGATGTCATAATGACTGCTGTGTAAAAATGTACCATGTGATTTATTATTGTTATTAGTGATCAAATGTTATCTAGGATTGATGTTATTTTTTACAGTCACTGTCATTAGTCTTTATGTAGGGAAATGCCCAGTGAATTGGGGGAATTTAATGTATATGCTTACCCAGGGGCCTCTGCTAAAAAGGGCCCCTACTCAATCGAAAACTTCTACTTTGCCATCTTACCTCTAGCACCCCCCTTCCTCCCATGGGGGGCAGTCGTAGAGGGGCCTCTGACTATGTTAATGTGCCTCTGGCAGTGAATGTGCTGCCCCCCAAAGGCAAAACAGAGTAACTACTTTGACACTGAAAAGAGCCTTCACAGGGTTGTGACTCCTTCACAGGGTTGTGACTCCTTCACAGGGCTGTAACTGTCCACTGTACACCTTCATGTGTGGTGGGTAGGTAGGTGGTAGTGTTTCCTTCAAAACCAAGCATTGTTGAACTAAGATTTTTTCTTTCACAAGACAAAGACTAAGAGAACCGATTTCTGCCATAATTCAATCTTGATCAAATACAGTGCTAAATCTGTCTACAGCAGTATGTGCTGCTTTAATCTAAGTACGACGCCCAAACTGGTATTAAACTGGGGAGCCACAGAAAGCTGGCTAGAAGTGGTTAGTCTGAGCTTCAGTCTGGGCCTGTAGCCTGACCTGTAGCCTGACCTGTAGCCTGACCTGTACATGTATTTCTGTTCATCGGGGTGCCCCTCTGACCATGGTAATGCAGTGTACTAATGGTAAAATGCTCCCAGGTCAGATGAAGATACGACAGATTTATTCACCAAAGCTGCTGTTATGCTGTTTTACATATTAACTCAGTGTTTCCCAATCCGGTCCTTGGGGACCCACAACCGGTCCACGTTTTTGCTCCCTCCCAGCTCCCTGCCAAACAGTCCGCGCTTTTGTGGATTGGGAAACGCTGTATTAATTTCAGCCTGCCGCCGCTTCTGAAGTACCACACGAGGGGCCTTCGCTGTTTGCAAAGTGGAGCGTGCATTTAGGCGCGCGCCTGTCGTGCTAACGACCTCCTCGGCCAATCGCAAAGCTGCAAATGACCACTTAATGTGACGATGCGAAACCTCGTCTGTAATTATGCCTTGTTCACCCTGTAATTACTTAGCAAAACCGCAGCGTGCTGCTTTGCCTGCTATAGTTTGCTTAGTGCAGCTGTGTGGCTCAGCGGGTACCTGCCTGTCACCATGAGGTTGCCGGTTCGAAATCCACACTCGGATAATGTGATTGGCTGGAAGTTGTGATAGTGGATTTGAGCCCATGCTCTCTGTGATCAGCTCTAGGTCACAGCGATCGCTGACTCTGGATTATTAGACAGCTAGTGATTAATAGAGGCCAGATTCTGGTTACAGATTTTGACCCGATATTAAGGTTATGTACTTCGGTCGTTTCCCATATGATCGCCAAGGTCGCTGGCATCGCCACAGCGATCACAGATTGTCACGGTTCGTTCCCCCATCTCTCTCAGACATCGACGAGTGCGTCCTGTTCTCCAGCGAGATCTGCAAGGAGGGCCGCTGCATGAACACGCAGCCCGGGTACGAGTGCTACTGCCAGCAGGGCTTCTACTACGACAGCGTCCTCCTGGAGTGCATTGGTAAAGTACCTTGTCACTGGGGGGCGGGGTTAGAGGCGGGGTTAGAAGCGGGGTTAGAGGCGGGGTTATCCCACCCACCTTTCCTGGAGTGCATTGGTAAAGGGCCTTGTCACCGGGGGGCGGGGTTAGAGGCAAGGTTATCCCATCCACCTTTCCTGGAGTGCATTGGTAAAGGGCCTTGTCCCCGGGGGGCGGGGTTAGAGGCGGGGTTATCCCACCCACCTTTCCTGGAGTGCATTGGTAAAGGGCCTTGTCACCGGGGGGTGGGGTTAGAGGCGGGGTTATCCCACCCACCTTTCCTGGAGTGCATTGGTAAAGGGACTTTTCACCGGGGGGCGGGGTTAGAGGCGGGGTTATCCCACCCACCTTTCCTGGAGTGCATTGGTAAAGTACCTTGTCACTGGGGGGCGGGGTTAGGGGTTGAATTACCACACCCATGTGAATGTAAATGAGTGTGCCACTGAGAATCAGTTCATGCACAGATATTGACATTCTAGATAATGACATTCTAGATTACTTAAAGTACTCTTGGAGAACAAATGACTATTTTATTAATATTTCTACCAGCCTGTTAGGGAGAGAAAAGCAGCGGTTATTTGACAATTATTTGATTTATGATTTATTATACTGTAGCCATATCTGCGTCCGAATCATATTGTCACATTTTCTTTCCATTCAACTTTCTGGTCACTTAATCTTCATCAGTTTTGTGTATAATGGCTCATAAAGTATGTAATCTGCGTAATGGATGCTTGTTGCCTTGTTAAGATTGATTAAGATGCTGTGCCAGGCCGGTTTTGGCCGGTTTGAAGTCGTGTAGCTCAGGACTCCCCCCCCCCCCCTTCATACCCACAGACACAGACGAGTGTCATGATGAATCTCTCTGCACCAATGGCCGCTGTGTCAACACCAGGGGCTCCTTCTACTGCATGTGCAGCCCACCTTGGGTCCCCGACACCTCCAAGAAGAAGTGCGTGATGCCCGCTGTGACAGGTCAGTACTGCCCAGGGACAGTAGGGGGCGCTGTGTAGCTCAGAAAGTTAGGAGGCTGTGCCTGAGATCAGAAGGTTTCCAATTTATAACCTATAGCTGGAAGAGTTATTTCACCACTGGGCCCCTCAGCAAGGCCCCTAACCCCCAATTGTTCCAGGAGCTGTAAAAATAAAACTTTATTTAAATGAATCAATGTCAGTTCTGTCCACCCTGTACTATAGTAGTTACTATTGATCCCGTATTCCATTCAGTAGATTCTTCTGTGTGGCTGCAGGTTGGAAATATATCAATTTGTTGGTGGGTTCAGTTTAAATACCATTTGCTAAAATTTGCCTTTTCTTAAATTCTAAATGAATTTCTAATGATGTCAATATCAGCAGACACTTAGTGGCGAAGGCATAATAACAGAATTAAACCTTCTATACAGTTGCCCAGAGTACAAAAATTTGGCATGGTCTGAATGGCCTGGATATGGTCCAGAATGAGCTGGGCGTGGCTGAGAATGGAGTGGGTGTGGTTTACAATGAAGTGGGTGTGGCTTATAATGGAGTGGGTGTGGTTTACAATGAAGTGGGTGTGGCTTATAATGGGCTGGGCATGGTCCAGTGTTGGCTGGGTGTGGCTCACTTACATTTCATTGTCATCATATTTCTTATTTGCATCATTTGATAAATAATAATCATGGCAAGTGAATATAACAAGTTAGTTCGTTGGGTTTTTTAGTATTCGTGTCTGTTGTGGGTGAAAAATAAAACACAGTTTGAGTCTGCAACTAACTTACATAAGAAAGAACACTAAGCAGGAAACAGGGATCCATGTTCAAAGAGCTCGTTGTCTTGGTTACTTGCGCCATTTCTCCACTCCCGCCGTGAACCGAGCCGTACCTGAGGCACCACCGAGAACCGGCCGCCACCAAGAACCGAACTGAACCGAATGACTAACCTTCTTAGGACCCATCGTGTCTTATTTAAAAACAAAGTCAGAGCAATGAACGAAAAAACACTAGAATATTCACAGCACAATTCGGCGGCGATGTTCACTACGCTAACCCGTTAGCAGTAGACTGACTCATTCTCTCCTTTGTTTATGTGTAAAAAGACTCATGCTTTCTCACATATATTTTAGCACTAAAGGGTTGGTTGGTTGGGAACCAAAAATACATTCGACAACTGAGAGACATTTTCTACCTAACAATATGGTCAAGAACAGAACAATATGTGAGACTTAGAAGAACCAAGGTTCCTTTGTACTGGTTTTCGGTGTCGATATGCATGGATTATATGAAGGAAACAAGGGCATATTCGATATATAATTAATTATTAGTAGTATTGTACATTGTGATGTACTGATGCATTCCTGTTAACTCAGACCTTAAAAATTTGCAACCTCCTACTTACTAAAGAAAATATGATGCCTTCACTGAGCCGACCCTTCTGCAGTGGAAAACCAAAGTGAGCTGGAACCGCACTGTAACTAGTCTCTCTTCATGGTACAGGTTGGGTACGGCTTGGTTCCTGTATGCCAGTGGAAAAGTGCCATTAGATTTTTATATATAATGCAGCATTGAATTAAAATAGGGAAAGTAGATCTATGTAGGGGTGTAGAGCATCTCTGTGACATACAGTTTGCTGTGCCGCAGGTGTGAATGAGTGCCAGGACCCGACCAACTGCAGGAACGGGCACTGCGTGGACACCCCGGACACCTACTACTGCATATGCACCCCGCCCTGGATCCTGGCCAGTGATCGCAACAGCTGCATCACCCCAGAGGAACAAGGTGGTGAGTGAGTGCATTACGGGTGGGGTGGGGGGGTGGGACTAAACATTAGCTGTGGTTGCAAGGGGTCCCCCTAGTGGTCAGAAGAAAATGCTATTTGAACGTTATATTTAAACTACTCTCACCTTTGAAGCCCCTAGGAGAAATCTTAGAGTTGCAAATGGCTGTGGTCTGACACTATAGTACATATGTGTCCACCGGCAGCCATATTGAAAACGAAATGCATGGGACCTTGGGATGTAGATGAGATTAATTTAAAATGATGACGTTCTTGAGAGGAGAAGCTTCCTGCCTAAGTAGTCACTTCCTGTTTTTATTAGCCAATGGGCATACGCCATACTGGGGGTCTGTGGGTTTCCTGTATCCCAGAAGCTGTGGGGTGTTTCTCAATAGCAAGAACGCAGAGATCGTATATGTGGTCTTGGCGAGAGCGGTCTTGCTAACTTGCCTCCCAAGAACGAACTGTGGGTGCAATGAATCATGGGGTTGGTATCGTTTGGCGAGGATGCAGCCGATGCGTCCTTGATATTTGGGGCGGAGCAAGAGCAACATCTGGGGGTTTTTTACAGTCCCCTGCACTTCTGTTCTTGAATATTGGACCTGGTCTTCAGCAATGGAAGGTGACGTCAAATGGGTACGCGACAACTCAAGTCGCGAGAACACAAATACGGTCAAGTACACATATTGAGAAACATCCCCGGCGTGGTCTACAGTTACCCATCATGGCTTCTTGCTCAAGATTCTTGCCCCCCCCCCCAGTTGTCACCCCTCTCTGTGGTACCTCTTACAGATGTCAACGAATGCGAAGACCCGTCGTACTGTCAGAACGGACAGTGCGTCAACACGCCCGGCTCCTACCACTGCATCTGCACGCAGCCGCACACCTTCAGCGCCGCGCTCAAGAAGTGCGTCTACGACGGTGCGTATGAGCGGCGGGAAGCTGGCTTTCTGTAACCCAGGCTGAGAATCAACACAGAGGCCCGGGTTCCAGTTCTAGATAGCAGAGGTGGACATTTCCAGTCCAGAAAGTACAAATCCAGACCAAGATTTTGTTTCAACCAACCAGCTGAGTACTCTGTGATTGTGACTCTTTATTTCCTACTGGTTGATTGAAACAAAATATTGGTCTGGATTTTTACTTTCTGGATCTGAAACAGTGCTGTGGTCAGTCCAGACAGAAACAAGTGCGCAGGTAGGGTTACAAGCCACACAGACTGTATACCTCCAGAATTAGGGTGGAGAACCATTTGATCTTTCATGTTTAGGAGTGAATTGTGTAGATCAGGGGTGCCCAATCTTATCCGGGCCGGTGTGTATGCGGGTTTTCGCTGCAACTAATTACTAATTAGAGGACTGGTTGGCTGAAGAGTCCTCACATCTGGGTTTGAACAGCTGACTTACAGGTTATCCCAAAAACCTGCACACACACCGGCCCTTTGCGGATAAGATTGGCCACCCCTGGTGTAGATCAGTTCAGTGTTTCCCAATCCGGTCCTCGGGGTTCCCCAGACAGTCCACGTTTTTGTTCTCTCCCAGCTCCCAGCACACCTGAACCCAACAACCAATCAGGACGATCGATCCTCACTTCATATTCTCACATATGATTCTGACACGTTAGCACTGGGCTTCTTATTGCTGATTAATGAAAAATTTCTGGTCCCCAGTTTGCCCCCCCCCCCAGGGTTTCTAATGAACCCCCCCTGTCAAAGTTCAGCATCAGACTCGACCGTACACCCCACGTATTCCTCAGAGGACAGCACGGCTGGTGTGGCATCCAGCATCTTCTCGCAGCCTGAAGGACGTCCAGTCGGGTGTTTTTCAACAACATGTTTATCGCATCAGAAATCTGTCATAATTAGATGCGAACAAAACATTTAGCTACTATGTCTGCGTGAACAGACTGTGTTTCTGACTATGAATAACTTATTAACAGATCAGCTCTATGAAAAAATGACATTTTCAAGTGTCTCCCCTTTTATATATTACATTATTATTACTATTATTTAGTTTTATGTTTTATATTTTACGGTAGGTATCAAAATTTTGATGTACGTATTCAAGCGTCTGATTGAAGTCTTAGTAATCCGTAATGTAACTGGCTCTAATGTAAATTATTAAGTATAGGTAAATCATTAAAATGTTTTGTATCCTTTTTAAGGTAAAAATTTGCGCATTCTGGGATTTATGTTTTGTCAGCAGAAATTGGCGGCTGGTTGAAATAGAGAATTATGGGAAATTCTCTGATAAGGCCAGACTAAAAGCAGTCACTTACCTGACAAGTTTACCCAGGCGGACAAGACAGCGATACCCTGCGCTCCCCAGAGATCAAGCATGCTTGGACGGGTACTGAGGAGGTCTAAGCCCCTGCTCTCCTTTCTCTCTCCTTCCTGCACCCCCAGACCGCACGGCCGCCCATAAGGACGTGTGCTTCCTGCAGGTGGACGAGGGCCTCATCTGCAGCCGGCCCCAGAAAGGCCTCATGGTTACCTACTCTGAGTGCTGCTGCCACTATGGACGCGGCTGGGGGCCCGAGTGCCGCACCTGCCCCCAGAGAAACTCCGGTAGGTGGGTGCGCCGCTGGGGGGGGGGGGGTGGTTCTTTTTTTTCAGCTAGTGACTCTGATTGGTTCTTTCATCCGGTGACACTGATTGGTGGAGGTAGAGGCGGCATTAATCTTGGGAGACCTTAAGCAAGTGTCTTTTTGATCTACCCCCCGTCCCCCAGCTGTCATCACACGTCACAGTGTGAATCGGTGAAAGAAAATACCTGTACGAAAGTGCAGAGGAACATTTGAAATTACATTTCTTTCATTTCTTGCTCCATTTCTGTTTGCTGGTCTCTTTGAGAAGGTGTGGGTCACGGGGGCGGATGCCCAGACCTCCCTCTCCCCAGCCACCGCCAACTGGGGGAATACTGAGGCATTCCCAGGCCGGATGAGGAATGTAATCTCCCCAGCATGTCCTGGGTCTGTCCCTGGGTTTCCTCCCGGTTAGACATTCCCAAAGCACCTACCCAGGAGATACCAAAACACTACTCAGTAGTTATATCTTTAATTTAGTTATCAATAAATTCATCAATAAGTATTAATCATATATTCCTTTTTATCAGCGTTTTTACTAGCATTATGTGAAAACCAGCATATCAGCAGATTTCTGGGAGTCTGAACTATAGGCTCTGACTGACTGTTTACCAGAGTGTTTATCTGATTATTTGTTTGCCTGAGGGTTTACCTGTTTATCTGAGTGTTTACTTGAGTGTTTACATGTTTATTCCACTGTTTACCTGAATGTTATGTTTACCTGTTTATTTCATTGTTTAACTAAATGTTTACCTGTTTATTTCATTGTTTACCTGAGTGTTCACCTGTTTATCTGTTTGTTTACCTAAGTGTTCTGCAGTTTATCTCAATGTTTACCTGAATGTTTACCTGTTTATTTCCCTGAATGTTATGTTTACCTGTTTATTTCATTGTTTACCTGAATGTTTACCTGTTTATTTCATTGTTTACCTGAGTGTTTACCTGTTTACCTGAGTGTTTACCTGCCGTGCTCCTCCCTTCCCGCACAGGCATCTTCGTCCGGCTCTGCGAGATGCATCTGGACACAGAGTCCGACGGCGACGTAGACTCGCTGGCCGCCTTCGTCAGCTACAAACCGGGTGCGTGTCACTTCCTGTCCGGCTTCTCCTCTCGCGTCTGTGCACCCGGAGACGGACGTGGCTGAGATGTGACGTGGTCAGGACGCCCGCGACTTTCTGGTGGCGTGATGACATCGATAGCGCTGACAGGGCACTGACAGATGGGCAATGCAACAGCACTGACACTCCATGTGTTAATTAGCATGGCAAACCAATGCTTAGCCATAGCATCAAACTACGAAACCCATCTGTTAGATATATATATATATATATATATATATATATATATATATATTGGGGGGGGATGGTGATTGAATTGTGAGTCTTCAGGCTGCATAGGAATGGGGGGAGTGACTCAGCACTTCTGACTGGAGCTTCTTTTAGAGAATGTGCCGGATCGGAGAGGGGGGGGTCCCAGGTGTTTGATCTTGCTGTCCCTCCCCAGGCGGTGACAGCTCAGAGGAGGACTCGGACGAGTGCAGCTGCACCAACGGCCGCTGTGTGCCCTCCTACCTGGGCACCGTGTGCGAGTGCAACCCAGGCTTCCGGTTGGACCACTCCCGTACCCGCTGCACAGGTATGGACACAGGCACGCGTTTACGCGGAAATCATGTGACCCTATCTAACCAATCACAGGGACAGATAAAAGCAAGCAGAAACCATCAGCAAACAGGGAACATACGTTTAAGATTCAAGATATGACATATTAACGAACATTAAACAGGTGAATCATAAATATATCCACAGTCTGCAAAATTTGCAGTAAGTTAACTTTTTGATCATGAAGTTTGTGACCATCAAATATTTTGTGACATTAGAACATCCTGTGACTTCTTATTCACTAAGAAGCTGTCTTACCTCAGCATAGGTCCCCATAAAGCAGCAAGATTACCACACAGGCAGACACACCCATACCCATGAACACACACTTGCATCCCAGATTGATAGCTTGAGAATACGGCCACTTCATGATGAAGGAAAACAAACTGATGCATTAAACTCACTCTGTACTGTGTATGTAAGGCCCTCTACAGTAGTTCAAGCCCTCACTCTTCTTCCCTGAAATGTTTTCGGACAGATATTGATGAATGCACGGAACCGGGCCTGCGCATCAACTCCTGCAAGAACGCCCGCTGCATCAACACGCTGGGCTCCTTCAAGTGCTACTGCAAGCACGGCTACGTGCCCACGCGGCGGCCCAACATTTGCGTCCAGGCCAGGACTTAACACCGGCAGAAATTAACTGACACCCCCCTCCGCCATCCCCCACCCCCCCCCAGCCTGGTTGGACACTCTCCTGCCTCACCCGTGCCTCATTTTTGTGGCAGCGCCCCTTTCTGCCCGAATTCAGACCTTCAGCCCGACAGACACCAGGAGGGAGCCATTGAGGAACGTTCTAAAGTTCCGACGCCATGTTCCGCGCTTCCCGTTTCGAACAGGAAGTCTTCCCTCTGGTGAACTTCACTCGGGTGTAAGAGGTGGCATGATTTTTCAAGAGACATGTGCCTTATCGTGGAGGGGGGGTGGGGAGACCACCCCGCCTTAGGCTCTCTCCTAAAATAAACACGACCAGAGTTTCTACAGCAGAAGTAAGAAACCCCATCTGAGCGACTCCCGTTCCTCCTCAGGCATCTTTTGCTGGTACACGCGTGGCTGTGGTTTAAATGGTTCCCTACTGGTCATGTCTGCAGTTAGAGACCTTTTTAAGGGTGCCCTTAACCCCTGAAACGCGCAACACCTTCTCCAGCTGTAAATCGGTAACTGTCGCCATTGTTGTTAATATTGGTCCCTCAGATTTTTTTTAACTCTTGTTTTTATTGTAATATTATGTTTACATAAATTACGTGCTATATACTGAAGCAGTGTTAAAACAGACTTGGAATAATGCCCTTAAACGTCGTCTCAGTGTGGAAACGATACAGACGTATCTTCTTTCTCCTTACCAGTATTTTTTTAGTATATAAAATGTTTCCATGTGCTTTGAACTGGACTTTTGAGTCTTTCCCCCACATTATTTAGGTCACCAGCATCACTTAGGAACAAAAACATTATTCCCATCAAAACTGCCTTTGCTTTTACTTCAGAACCTTCTGGAAAGTGGATGGTAATTCCTCTGCTCAGATTTACAGAATCTGCATGTATAGAGTCAGTTTGTTTGTTTTGGTGATTCTGACTCCTCTCGTTGTCCGAAGTGAAGCCATAATCTCCTGATACATTCACTCTCCCTGGTTTGGTACTGGATTTTTTATTTCTTCTTTTTAAATATGTTATTTGAGGTTGAAAATACGAGGATTTTCACACTAATGTGCAGAATTTAAGTGGAGCATGATGGGAAATTAAATGCAGGGGGTTCAAGCTGAGGCCGTCGCCGGTCAGCGGAGATGGACGCTTCTGGGAAATTAGAAGCACAGCAAGGTGAGAAGCATGATCGTTGTTTCAGAGACCGCAGCGACTTACGTTTTTATTTAACTGCAAACGGTATTTCCAGCCCGGGGACAAACGAGGAGAAAGCTTTGTTGACATCCTAAGGAAGTTAATAAATGGAAATGGTGAAAACGGTGGAACCGTCGGTGTCTTTTTGATCTACCCCCGTCCCCCAGCTGTCATCACACGTCACAGTGTGAATCGGTGAAAGAAAATACCTGTACGAAAGTGCAGAGGAACATTTGAAATTACATTTCTTTCGTTTCTTGCTCCATTTCTGTTTGCTGGCGGAATAACCGGCGACGTCTGCTGCATAACATTTAATGATGCCAAATTTGTGCCGTATATGTGGGTCTCTCTGTCAAAGAGTACTGGCCAGTTAGGAAAATTAATCTCTACAGTATCGCAGGATACACAATGTCCTCCAGAGTTCGTGGCTGACTGTTCCCTCCCATAAATTCTCTCCGCAATGTCCCCAAATGTCGGGTAACGGATAATGAATCCATTCTGTTAAATCACATTTAGGACATTTTTAAAAAGTGATCCAGGGAAATCCTTCGATCAGCCTAAGACTGGTTGCCGTACTCCACAGCTTGTCCATGCGGAATTAACACTGTCGGTGTCATGTTAACACCGCTAACCCGCATGACACCAGAACAAAGTTCAGGTATTCACGTACAAAGTTATTACGGTACAAAGCAAACTCCCGAGCGAATTTCTGAGTAGAATACCTGTTATGCCCTTTCCCTCCGTTGCTGTGTAAATGCAGCAGCCGCTGCTGCGTGCGTCGTTGTTTTTGACAATAGCTTCAGGGAGTCTAAAAATCCTCCTAGAGACCTCGGTAAATATGGGAATGAATGTTCGTGTACTTGTCTAGAATTACAAGGAGCCACACTGGTGCATTGGCGCAGTATGTATACTGTAATTATGTGCACGAATACAGAATCCGTAGGGAATCACAGTCTCCCCGTTATAATAACAGTAGTATTAATAAGCAAAATGTTTGATTCAGCAGTGTGGCATGTTTGCAAATCCAATCAGTTTCCCATTTATTTGTGCTGAGATTTAATATAGAGTTTATTTCTATTTCGTGTTTTTGTGAATAATACTGAATCATTTCTGACGTTTCTGCGATGATGACCCGCATTCAGATAATGGGACCATTCATCAGGCCGGACGCCGTTCGCCATTAACACAGGTAACACTGCATGTTTTCCAGCAAATTCCCAGTGGAAATGGCATATAGCGTTTGGTGGTTGGCGGAATTACCTTAAATTAACCCAGATCCGACTGCTTTATGCAGATGTACACTTTATTCGATACACAAGGGAGTATATACAGCATATTTTACATTCATAAACATCCGTGTTAACGATCTGATTAAAAGAGCAACTGTTTATTTGAAAATGGCTCGGAAGCTATCTTTATGGAACTCCTTTTTGGTATTATGTAATCATATACATCTTTGCAATAAAATCCTGTATAGCACATCCCAGTGGGGGCTTATTCTTGCAAATGGAAGAAGACCCAAATATATCCCTCTGAAACTGGAACAAACACGTGCACCTCAGTGTAGGACGCTGGGCAGCAATGGGAAATATCGATTCATGCACTAGAGGGCGCTACCGCTTAGCACTTTCATTAGCGTGCACACTTGAACGCTTAATAAACGCAATGTGGAGGAGACTTAAATTTATAATTGCGGTCTTGGTGATAGTGATGAAGTGAGGACACTTACACATGACTTAAATCAATGCTCTTAATAAGTGTAAAATCATCCCTGTTTCTTCCAGCTTCTCCAGTACAGGGTGGTGGAGAATATGGTGTCTATTCCAGCCGGCACAGGGCAGGTAAATATGCACGGTGACACACAGTCGCACACTATGGGGCACTTTTGAGACACCAGATTGCTGAACCAATGTATGCTTAGTTTGTAATTTGGCTGCCAGGTTTGCTGGGGCCTGAGTTGGCTTGAATCGACACTTCTTCGAGTAAACCACAGGCTTATATTGCTATACAAGACATCTGGTTTTATAGAGGAAGGCGCAAGCACTGGACCGACACCCCTTCCTTTTAAAGTAACGATTCTTTAAAATGAATTTACTCTAATACCAGGTTTGGCAACTTTGGTCAGCTGGCTGGAGTGAAATTTTCAATTCCATGCAAGTCTACACACGCATTTGCATGTATATAACGGTTTTATTGCTTCGTAAAGAGTCTGATGTGTTTGCAAAATCCTCCAACGGGTTTGATGTGGCTAATTTTAGGTTTATAAAGAAATAATATACATTTGCCGTAAGATTTCTTGCGTGAGCGTAAGATTCTGAATACGTGAGACCTGGCAACCCTTTTTCACCAAAAACGATGGGTTAATGTATTAGCAACAGCTACAGTTATTCAGCTACATATTTTGGTCCCCCTACAGCAGCAGCTGTCCAATTTAGTTGAACGTGGTTGTTATTATGGGTTGAAGAAGCGTTTCTGTGCACAACAGTGATAATTTGTCCCTAACCATGCCTCGCTAATTAACTGTTGCCAGCCCTGGAGATCCTCCCTCTCGGTTAAGACTCGCCATGATGATATATCAGGTCACGCAGCATCACTTTAGTAACCCCTATGGGACGGAAATGCATTAGGAAGGCTAAGCATAGATAACACAGAGCTCGATCTTCAAACCGTTCGCGAGCTCGAAAATGACGATGAGACTATAGTTGCGTAGCAACAAGTGATTCATCTCGAGCTTCTGCCCCTTTCAGCTCGCTTACATTCAACTCTGCCGACACACCAAAAACAACGAAAGGCTATTTATATAACAGCTGGGAGAACCTGGATCCTGGATGATTCCATCCGACTGCGTCCCTGTATGGTTACTTGATTATTCGACTTATTGGCCATTAAACAAGTCGAACGAACTTTGTATTTTGCTGAAGCGATGTACTCATTAAAGTCTGGCTGGCTCTGCACGTCGTTACGATATAATTAGTAAGGCTCGCTAACGAGAAGGCAGGTGGATCGCTCTCCACACGGCCCAGGGGTGCCGCAGATGTAGGGCAAGGCTGCGACAGTCAGACTATTAATACACAAATTACACTGTGGGAGTATGCTATAACCCTGCCACACTCACAAATCGTTCATACGAGAACCCATAACATGCAGTGCATATTCATACTCCTCTTATGCATACCAAATTATATTTATAAAATATGTAATATTTCCCATCCAATTATTCTGAAGATCTATCCGTGTGGTAGCCTCAGAGGGTTGTGGGTTCAAATCCCATCCCTGGCTCTGCATGAGTGGAATTTGCCAGTTTCCTCCCACAGTCCAAATGTGTGATTTTTGTGGGTGAGTATGTGTGCCATGTTGTTGACTGACATTCACTCCAGCATGTATCCTGCCTCTGCATCCTGGGAATTCCTTCACGCTCACCCTGACCATGTAGCAGACAAGCTATAGATAATGGATGAATGCATATATCATTGTTAAGTGTGGCGAACATATACAGGCCACGAAACCAGAAGGTTGTTGGTTCACGTCTACAATATATTTAAAAAAAGAAAATTCCGGAAGTTATATTTCTAACTTCGTAACACCTGAGTTAAAAGGGAACAGTTAAGTTGACAAACCAGGGCAATTTTGGAGGCTTCTGGAATGCAAGGTGATCATGTTCCCACTTCTCGACGATGCAGGCCGAATCGCTATGCCCTGATTTGCAGTGAGGGTTTGTAAAACATGAGTGTATGTGGGTCATTTCATAAAACATTTGCACAAATTTTCCTTCTCATGAATTATGTAGTGTTGACATCCATGCCAAACACACGAATTGTATGTGCCCTTTAAGTTCTGTCTGTTTTCTATATGGAGTAATTAGTTATTAGTGTATATATAAGGCCACAATGTTTTAGCCAAGGGTGTTGTGTGGCACAGTAGGTTAGGGTGGTGTGCCTGTTATCAGAAGGTTGTCAGTTCACATCCCAGATTCCGCAGAGTGGTTTCATCTTTGGGCCCCTGAGCGAGGCCCTTAACCCCCAATGGTTCCACGGACTGTCTGAGCCTGAGTTCTCAAAATGTTTGTCACTTTAGATAAAAACTTCTGCTAAAATCAAATTCCAGAACTTTCACTGATGGTTCCCATATACAGTATGATTCTTTCAGAAACTGTGCAGTTATGCACCTTATAATGGTCAACGACGGACCACATGTACAACGGTGGCCCCATAAGATTATAATGCTTGATAATGACAATAAATATCTACGTTACTGGTTTATATATTCACTATACTGTACTTTTATCATTATGCCAGAGTGTACTCTTTCTAATTATGAAAAAGATCACACTACGACAAAAAAATTCCTAAGAACTCATATCTCGGAGCGACTGTATTCAGAAACAAGCAACTTTTGGATATTCTTTGAGTTTATGGCATGATTGATGCGATCACCGTTTCCCAAAAGCAGCCACAAAGACCCACTGACCATGGAGATGATCAACTCTGCTCACAGTGTCAGTGTGTGGTCATTTTTTTGAAGGATTCTTCCTCCTGTTAACTCCATGTGGGTATAATTTAAGCACTAGCAGAGATGTCAACTCCAACTAGGGTGCAAGAAGTCCACTCATTCCTCTTCTGCCCCCAGTACCTTTTAAAAACAGAAATGTAAGACTCATAGTGTGAAATTCTGGTATAATACCATATATCTATACTTTTGAAATTCCTTGTTTGCTCCGGCAGTAAAGCAGTTACTGTAAAGACATCTAGTGGTGCTTAATGAATTGAGTATGTACTGAGTATGTACTGAGTATGTACTGAGTATAAGCAGGGATGGTGTTTGCAGCCAAAAAATTACAGGTTTAATTTCCTCAGATCACCATTTTTTTTTTTGGCTATTTTTTTCTTTCTTTCTTCAAGCTTGCAAAATATGCAAAATCGTAGTGAGGGTGGGATTCAAACCCAGGGCGTGAGGCAGGGAGCGCCCTGGACAGTGTGCCATCAGCTTCTGTGTGAAGAGGAGATTCCAGGAGAAACCTCTAGTGGAATCCTAGCGATTTTAGCTCCTGCAGTATTTATTTCTGTGTATCTGAACTAGTCTATTGACTCAAGGTTAGAGTATGGTAAAAAGGCCCCAATAGCTTAACTGG